AAGCTAACAAAATATATCTATAATATTAACCCATTGGCGTCTGGTGAGCCCTCATGCGCCCGGAAGTAAAACCGCTCTGAAAATCCAGTGCGCCCACATGCGCCCTGTCAGATATGACTCGTTTTTATTGGCTGTAGCTAAGAAACCTTATTCCCCTGTGTATTCAAATATATCTGAACGTGACCTACATAAATTAACCTTTCATTTGATGTTAAGTTCTTCATTCTGCAATTCCTGTGTGATTTTTCGTGAATTTTTGAAAATAGCGTTCAGTATTTTAGTATGGCTTCTCACAGGTTTGACGATGCTTCACGTTCTTCTGATGAAGAAGAAGAAATCTTTCCTGGTTTTTCTCTCGAAGAAGTGGCTGAAATTTGACAGGAACGGCAGAGAAGAAAACAGGAAAACTCTCTCCGAGATGTTGATCGAGAAATCGAGGAAATCTTCGATTTTGGCGAGCACGAAGGGGGAACAAACTCCGATGTCGAAATTTTCGGCAACGAAGAAGAAGAACAAGATGATGAAGAAGATAGTGACAACGAAGATATGCCTTCCGTTGGGGTTCAATGGTCGAACACATTGAGTAAAATTGACATCGAAGAGTTTACCATTCCTCATGGCCCAACGAAAGATCTCGGCGAGGGTGCAACATCAAAAGATTTCTTTAATCTTTTCATTGACGATGGGTACCTAGATGAAGTTGTTCGATGCACTGTGGCCTACGCTCGTTCGAAAGGAGACGCAACATTTGTCACGACTCGGGCTGAAATTTTTGCCTATCTCGGGCTCAACATTTTAATGGGGATTCATCGCCTTCCTCAGGTGGATATGTTTTGGGACTCTGACGAATTTATCGGCGTAGAAGGGTTTAAAAAAACAATCCCCAAGCAAAGGTTTAAAACTCTTGGCAAGTTTCTTCATTTGATCGACCCAAGAGAAGAAGATCCAACCGACATTCTCTGCAAAGTTCGCTCTCTGGTCACTCTTCTGGAACGGAGATTCATGAAAGCATTCATTCCGGGGAAAAATATAAGCATTGACGAAGGTCTGGTCAAGTTCAATGGGAGGCTTTCATTCAAGCAATATATGCCTATGAAGCCGGATAAATTCGGCATTAAAGTTTGGATGCTCGCTGACGCCGACAACTTCTACGTGCCGCGTTTCCAAATTTACCTCGGAAAAAATCGCACCAACAGTGAACTGTTTCAATGAAAGGGTTTGGGGTACTATGTCGTTTGGACACTCGGTGAACCATATTTAGACAATTGCTGACATTTTTGTTTCGATAATTTTTTTACCTCGGCTGATTTGATGCAAGATTTGGAGTCGAGGGGTACATACGCTTGTAGCACTGTACGCACAAATAGGAGAGACTATCCTGCCGACCTAAAGCGAGCTAAGTTAGTTCGTGGGGAGATCAGAACCCATCAGTGCAGAAATTTGGTGGCCACAATGTGGAGAGACAAACGTATTGTATCTCTTCTGTCAATGAACACTCCTCCGGAACCTGAAATCCACGCTGTTCAGCAGGTTGTGCGAGGAAGAAGAAAGCGAGTTGTGCCCGTAGACTCCATGAAGAAGCCAGATGTGGTTACCATGTACAATGCAGGTATGAATGGGGTCGATGTAAACGATCAATACCGCAGCTACTATCCTCCAGGGTCAGTTTCTTGAAAGTGGTGGAAGTATTTGCTTTGGTTTTTCTTTAATTTGTCCATCGTTAATGGGTACATTTTGGAAAAAGTAGCTGGCAAGAAGGTGTGAAGTCAACTGGCATTCCGGCGTGAACTGGCGAGGCTCCTCATAGCTGGTTACAATGGATACAAAGGGCCCTCAACATCAGGTAAGCGGGCTATCCAAACTCTCTCAAGTGAAGAAAATGTGAACGGACACTTTCTCGGAAAGTTGCAAGGCAGAAAGAAAGCGTGCGCCATGTGCTCAAAAGATGGGAGAAAACGAACTGATGGACGCACCTTCGAAACATCATATGCTTGTGAGCAATGCGGTGTTGCCTTATGTCGACAAATGCGGGGTGAACTCTCCTGCTTTTCTAAATGGCATGGAGGAAATTAACTCTCAAAAACACTCAACCTTTGTTCTTAAATTGTATTGTAGTTTTCTTTTTTTTTTCGTTCTTTAGAGCGCTGTATTAGGCTGTAAAGCCCAATTTCATTTCACCTTTACTTTGCGAGTCACGAACTGGTCAAAGATAAAAACAACTTTCTTTGTTAGTATAATCCATGCATTGTTTGTAATCTTCCAGTTGAAAGGGTTCTACTCAATTGATAGTTATTTCATTCTTCAATAGTTCCATATCACAATTTTCTGCCAGGTCTGTGCAGGCTTAACTTGTAACTTATAGTTTTTTTACCTCGTGACGTTCACTGATGGCGGCAAATTCAAATTTGATCTGTGCAAGAAAACTTATGAATTTCACTCTCTTACCTATGAGATGGCCTGTTTTAATGCAAAAGTTTTTTGACTGATCCCTTTTGTTTGCATTTCTGCTAAGTTAAGAGCAGGAATTTAGACTTACTGTGGTTTTTAGATACTTTCATTCCTTTATAGGTAGTAGATAGGACAGTGATGGTCACTTTGTTTACTTGATGACCATACTTTAATATTTTTTTTAAAAAAGCAGAACATACATCTGCAGGATTTAAGTAGTTTAAGTAATTCTTTATTGTATTGGCAATCATGTTTAAAAGTTTCACTGCTGAAGAGTAAAACTAAGACATGAAATGGTAAATTTGTTTGGACCATGTCATTTTTTTTAATTTGACAGCCATTTTGTCTGGATTTTCAGGGTGGTCTGGGCTGAGGGCTTTGAACCCAATAGGGTTAAGAAACAATTATCAGGGTACAAAAGTTAATATAAAAATATTAAATTGAATTAAATCTGAAATTCTAAGTATAATTTACCAAAAAATGAGGTGACTATATGTTTGAGGCTAGAAATACTGACATAGCAATATGGATGAAAACTCATGATCAAACTACCTAGTGCTAATGCTACCGTTCGCTCATTTTCAAAATATGTCCTTTTCAACTTGGTTTCCCTGTAATCACTGCTACATAAGAGGGTTTTCGGAAAAATTTTCGTATAACCCCATACCAATAAAAAAACAAAGCCGTAGTCCCAAAGGGAAATCTGTTGTTTTGCTTCTGCTCCTTTATCCAAGAATTGAATGCATAATCAGTGTGGGGTTTTTCGGAAATCCTGCCGGGTTTTCTTATAATTTCCAACAATCCACAAAGATCGTCAATGATCACGTGGAAATAAACCTTTAAGAAACATACATGAATCTGTCCTCGTGTTTGCTGTTCAAAAGATTTTTTTTTCGTGCATTTATAATCAGTGCAATGTTATCGGTTAAAAGGTAAGCAAAAGCAATCAAAAACCAAATAACTCACTGAAATTCCATATGGCGACTGTTGGAACTGAGAACGCTGAAACATGGAGGACTGTTGCGGGTTGTTTGCCATTTTCTGCATTGACGCAGAAGCTGGAAAACGCGCCGCCATCTTGAATGGAAAAGATTACCCACAATGCATCCGTATCTAGAGTTTCGGAATGTTCCGAAAGTTTTTAAACTCGAATAGCGTCGGAAAGATTCGGTCAACAGATAAACAAACATTTGAGGTTCCACGAGAACGCGGCGACTAACTAAGGCGGAAGTCAGTATCTATTTACTTGTACGTGCTTCCCCGTACTTGGCAACATACCTGTGTTGGTCCGTGGTAGAACTTCCCATAAGTTTGAAGTTAAACTAACACTATGAAGAGCGCGTTCGTTTGTCTGATATTTCTGGCAGTTTTGATAGAGGTAATCTTCACAATCAAGATATATTTACCTAGCTTTTACTCCACACAAATTGCAGTATAATCATTTTATTTATATTGACGTCCAATCTCACAACAAAGTGTTCCTAAATTATTTTTTTTTAGTGCTATGGCCGTAAAAGATGTTCGTATCGAAGGCACAGGAATGGCAGATACACCACTACCTATTACAGGTAGGTAATGTATAAATTTTTTCACATTAATTGCAAATTTTTAAGAGAATTGAAGACAGAGTAATGTTGTGATATACTTTCATGGTTTCTTTCCTTTTTAATTGTTCATTTTTAATCAATGAAAGTATGAGTCGGTCTGCATATGGATCATGTCGCCTATTTTCACATTGCTGAAAGCAACTTGATGTTATTTTGTCAGTTAAAGAATTCTAACAACACTTCTTCTCTTCTTTAAGATAAGTAATACTGAGTAAATTGGGGAGAAATATGTAATTTACAGACGTGGACATGTACGTAATTCTGGAACAAAACGTGCCAGCATTAAGGATGATCTTCTGTTGTTTTCTGCAAATTAAGTCTTTTTAATTTTTACCTTTAGCTGTGCTAGCAATAAGTACTGTTGTGGGACTCAAAGTTGTTGTACATATGTTTACACAAGATGGTAAATCTGGTAAGTACAAATCAAAATTAATCTGAACCTGCCTCATTGCATAATTTCTTTGACAATAATGATATAAGGAATGAACTTGACAACATTCTCCAGGTCTATACTTGAAGTTAAAGTTCACACTTTATTAAAATAAGATGTTTTGCGTATTTCCTTTTATTAATATATGTTTTCAATTCAAAGGACGGTCATAGTGATCACTTTTGTGATTGCTTTCATCCTGTGGTGGTATTACCGTTATCGCTATCGTCGTGCACATCAAGTAGTTGTAGCCCCGGTTCCACACACTCAAGCTGTACACACCACAGTCACTGGGAATGTGATAAGGGTCCCTGCTGCCTACCCGGTGTATCCTCCGCCAGGTCAAGCCACATTCATATCAGGTGGTGCAAATTTCCAGCATCCTGCATACCCACCACAAGTTTATGCTCATCAGGATCCACCGCCTCCATATACTAGCACTACAGTAGTAAAGCAAGGAGCTTTTGTAAGCACTTCTACATGATAAATGATGGTGAAAAAGATCCATAACCTTTCCAATTTCCCAATTTTCAAACTGTGCATAGCTTCAAGTTAGTCTTTCTGCACTCCAAGCTGCAATATGTTTTAGTCGCAGTGGTGAGTAAAAAAAAATTTAGCAGTTAAATTCGTTGCAAAGATTGCCAATTTGGCAACTTGTGTTTGGTGGTCTTGTAGTAAGTTGTGATATTTTTCTTACTTCATTTTTATGGTCTTAAGTTGAGTAACTTTGAAATGTAATCTTAGATACAATGAATATCTGAAGTTCATATATTTTGAACTGCGGTATTAAATACGTATGATACACGATCCTTCGCAGTAGATAGTGCCATTTATGCAATAGCGGAAATCAGACCTGAAAAAAATCAGGCCTGTACGGGATTCGAACCACTGACCTCTGCGATACTAGTGCAGCGCTCTACCAATTGAGCTAACAATTAACAAGGTCAGTCGAATCCCATACAGGTCTGATTTTCGCTATTGCATAAATAGCGCTATCTACTGCGAAGGATCGTGCATCATACGTAAATGTAATTTATAACATAGCGCGCGCGCTGGTCCTATCTAATTCCTATTGCGTCAACATGAACAAAATCTTTATGTACGGACGGCCGTGCTCAATAAAATGACGTGTGCAGTTTCAAAATAGCTGCAAAATTTCTGTCGTATGAGTTCCTTAAGTTAAAGTTTCGGAAAGCGATAATAGTAAATCGAAGGCCAACCAAACTTTTCTTTGGCTTTCGACCTTCCCGCAAGTAATCAAGCCAACAAGCAGTATACGAAAGCGAAACACAACAGGCCCGTTTCCCGAATTTATCAGAACAGGAGCTGGAGCAAATTTTAGCTGAAAGACATTCAGCAAGAACTAAGAAGACAACAAATTGGATTGTGGCGACTTTTAAAGGTAAACGTCTCTGTTGATGACGTTTTTTTTGGTCACATTTGTAATTACTACCGAAAACCATTTAATTACAAAATCAACAAAACAATCGGAGACGCCAACATTTTCGGGCAACTTTCATTTAAAAAACATTACATAAACATCATTCAGCGCCCAAATTGTTTTCGTATGTTATAAAAGAATTGTTTCATGCTTTTAGCTGTGCGTCTATCGAGTTATGGATGCACTTGGGAAGTTTGGAGAGCACTCAAGAAGCTAGAGTTGCTCTCGGCTGCGCCTGGAGCAACTCTTGCGCTTCTCTCGTGCTCTCCAAACTCCCCGCGTGCATCCATAACTCGATGGACGCACGCTAAGCATGAAACAATTCTTAAATTGTAGAAAACATCCTTTTTCACTTCTTGTTTTTTGAGAGAAGTTACCAAGAGTGTTATTTTGGCAGGAAAACTGTTGCGGCCCTGTTGATGGTCACCATTTCACTCACACTTTTACATATGAAGTTTTTTTGGTAATTTTTTAACAAGATTTTTCTGGCTACTACTATGTTACTCGGGAAACCATTTTAAGTTGTAAGCCTACCCAATGTAGACGTTAGAAAAAGATGAGCCTACAGCCCAGGATATTGACTTTTAAAACTTTTGTGGATAATTATAATATTTATAGTGACCCATTTAGAAGGTATGAAATATTTTATAGATATTTTATAGATGTTTTAGATGTACTAATGAAAATTAATATGAAGTGATGTCAAACATCCTGGATTTTTTTCATCATTTTTTGTGTTCGATGCATATACCTATTAATATTTTTAACATTCTGTGGTGCATTTTGTTAATTTAAATTTACTAAAAATGATCAAATATATCAGGTGTGATTCATGGAAAAGCTGGTTATGACTTTGACTCGCTACAAACTGCTGAGTGTAAAACATATTCTATTATAATAATTAAACAACAAATAAATGTTATGTTTAAATGTAAAGAATAATCAAGTTCACCATTAAAAATAGTTTATTTTTTGTCACTTAAGTGATAGTCCAGAATTCATTTGCACATGTTATAATTATAGTTACACATATATTCTTTTAGAAAACATTGCAGAAAAAGAAGTCTGCCCGACTCCAAATCTCAACACCATTGTCCCTTCTACACCTTCTCTTCTGAACCTGTGCATGCAAACAAACAGACTCCTCTTCCTTCACCTTGATGAGCTGATTGAATTGCCATAGCATCCCAATCTAGCTAATTTTACTGAGATGATATGCTTCATCTGTCCAGAAGTAATAAGCAAGCCAAACTTACAAGTCCTATCATTAGAAGGCAGAAGTTGAGAACTATTTTTATTACACGACTCGGGCAGTCAGAGGGCCAATAACTAAAATCAACCAATCAAAATGCTCTATTGCCGGTCAATATTCTCTCAGTATTGGACCAGGCACTGTCACGAATAGTCCCGAATGATACCACACTTGTGTCCCTTTTGAATTTTAGTCGTATAATAAATCTCTTATTAACCAAGCTTGCTCGGGACTGTACTGGAAGAATATCGGCCCTCGGTCCTTTTTGTACGGACCTCAGGCCAATATTCTCCCAGTATGGCCCTTGCGCTTGGTTAATAAGATATATTTATTCCTTCTTTAGTCTCTCCTCAGCTTCTGAAGCATGTGATCTTGTTGACATCTCTTCCCATTCTTGGATCATTTTTTTTTTGAGGAATTCACCCTGTGGTTTTCCAACATTTATTGGAAGTAAAGCAGCATAAACTGGAGTCAGTGCACCTAATAACAAATTGAATACAAAAAGCATTATCACTTCAATTTGCATTTCAAACTTTCAGTCTGTAATGAAATTAACATGCAAAGGTTTGTTTGAACTTAAAAATGTGATAAGGGACGACAAAAAAGTATTCAAACCACTATTGTAAGATAATTAGAGGAGGTAGATGTGGGACAAATAAAAATTTAGTTGTACCTTCCTCAGGGGATTTTGTTGCTTTTGGTCCAGCCATGTCTGTACGGACCCAGCCAGGATCACACTGCAAAATAAAGTAAAACTTTTAAAAGAAATTGATGAGCTCAGACCTGACCAATATCAACTACTTCAAGAAAAACAAGCAATGTTAACAAAAGCTCACAAAAACAGTCAACTCTGCAAAGAAACTGAAAATCACTTCAACACTACTGCTGCAATAAGATAAGCTTAACTCGGTAATAAATCAACACTAAGTTTATATCCTGTGCAAAAACTGTCTCTTTTATGTGTCCTTTGTATGTAAATGTGCAAAGTTTCAATTGGTTTAGTTTTACGTACTGTAGGCACCCATTTCTCCTTCATTAATTCACATCGCAAACATTTAATTTTATAATACAGGGGGCAAGTTTCTAAAGAAACTGTGGTGCTGCATTGGTGGGGGTAACGAGGTAATTTGGTAATATCAACTAAGTTGAAATTGTAAAGTGGCCACTGTAAGAGTTAAAAAGCTGACGTTTCAAGTGTTAGCCCTTCATCAGAGTGAATGCTTTGCTCTGATGAAGGGCTAACACTTGAAACGTCAGCTTTTTAACTCTTTACAGTGGCCAATTTACAATATCAACATCATTGATATTACCAAATTATTTAATTTTATAACTGATTTCAAATTTTTCTTGCAACAAACAATCATCCCTAAACTCTCTGAGATTAGCCCTTTAAAACCTAAGTGACCGGCATCTAAATTTTCCTTACAGTAATACCACTTAATCATTCATGAAGATCATGAGAATAAAGAAAATGATCCCCAACGTAACAAGCTTTGATTGTTTAACAAATTCTCCTTGTCATTATTGAAGGAAATGAATAAAAAACAGTATGGAGAATATAGATACTGGTGTTAAGATGTTGAGGGTTAATACTATGTAGTTGTCATATTCAGGATGGGGGAATGGAAAGTCACACCAGGTCGATTATGAAAAGACATGGAAATGAACAAAGGAAATCAACATTATACATTAAGATGATTGTAAATTAATTGTCAACTGTAAATTGCATTATGACAATTTTATTTCAAACTTCTTACAGCATTGATAAGAATGTCCTCTCTAGAATCTTGTGTGATATTCCTTGCTAGAATCTTGGTTAACGCAATTATTCCTAAATGGGAAATTCCATAGGCTGGCAAGCAAAAAGAAGATTTGATTTAGAAAGTCTCGGTTGTCATCAATTAATCATAAAGAAACTCAAAATTCCAATTAAGGGTTTGCCTCACCAGTGCTTGACCATCCCTTCTGTGAGTGAGTACCATCCTTAACATCTCTGGAATATATTGTGAAAAAATGAAATATTCAAAACAATGTCCTGTGGTAATTTATAGATTTGATTTTGCTTGTTATGATCATTTATGCCATTTGTTACTCTTGCAGAATTGTAATCCTTTAATACTGATGAATTTTAATTCCTGATAACTTCATTTGATGGTAACAAGAATAAATGCCATAACTGACAAAGAACTACAAGCCAGATTTCAATTACCAAAGTTCTGAAACATTTCATCACATCAACACACGTAACTATATACAGTGACTGTGGATATATAAGAAAATCATAATCATATGAACTGCTATTTACCAGCTCCCAGTTGGCTTATTAGCTCAGTTGGTAGAACACTGCACTGGTATTGCAGACGTCATAGGTTCAAATCCCATGCAATCAGGCCTTATTTTTACTACCGCTTAAGTAGTGTTCACTACCGTGACGATCAATTTTAAATATATACAAATTGAGAACACAATGGTTACCACACAGCACATTCACTTAAAGCTCTATTAACTATGCTTAAAGTTCTCATTTGATGAAGCAAATTAACAAATCCATTGTTCAAGAACTTGCTTGACAAACTGATCCATCAAATTACTAAGACTTTCTTCTGTTAATTTTGGAGAAGAAAACTTCTTCTGAAGGTCCTCTGATAGCTGAGCCAAACCCCCTAAATGGGATGAAATATTCACCAATCTGGGAAATCAAAGTAAAGATTCTTTCTTAGTGGTGAAATGTCTAGAAGTAACTTCAAATTTTGTGACACATACTGGTAATAATCAATAGACAATGAAAGACTATTTGAAATATTTATAATGGGACAAATTAACTGTCATTTATTAGTGGGGAGGGGGGTGCCTGGTGCAATTTCTTTCTTTTACCAAGTGCAGTTCTTGTATGCCCTTCCCCAATTTCTTGCAGAAAAAACTGTAACATTCCCTCCCCCACTATGGAAAGCTGTGGGCATTATTATGTTCCTATGGGATGTACACCCTACATACTGCTAGGAACAGTAATTTTGAAAGCATCATGTGTCTGAGTAGATATATTAAGATAGCAAGTAAATTTCAGGTCTGACATGTAACGTAGAAAGATGTAAATTGTCTAATTCTGTTGATTAAGGGAGGTTAAAAGCAGCTAATGGCAGAAAATCATTTGATAAAGATGTATCAAATACACTCAACTGAGCAAAGCAACATTGCTTTCCTTTTTGCATAGGAGCTTTTTGTCCTCACTAACCTTGCATGTGGTTTTAAAATTGGTAACAGTGCTCTGCACACATTAAGCGTACCATGAAAATTTGTTTGGATAGTCACTATAGCCTGTTCTGGAAAAGGAACTGTGGATGCCCTCTGGTAACATGCAAAAACAAAAACAACAAATATCTCATATAATAATATTTCACTTTGCAGTTGAAGGACATTTAGATTTTCAACAGTCATCAGAGAGGCAGAAGGTTATCCTATAGGCCTGTAACCCCTGAGATTGACTAGTATGTCAGTTCTCCTTATAGTGCAGCTACTAAATCAAGCATTTAGGTAATGAGAATAAAGGTAATGATCACTAATGAAAGAGGTTCTAGATTAAAAAAACAAATTCTCCATGTCGATACTGTAAGAAATGTAAAGAGAACAGTATGGAGAAGATGCATTCTGAATGGGTAAAGTCTTGCATTATAGCTAAAAACCTAGCTTACGATATCTCCTTGGGTATAATTCTCAAGTAGTCCTTGTTACAACCTAACCTTTTCACTCCAGAGATCTCATTTAATAATTAACAAATGGTAAACACCACAGTGTACACTATTGAGTTATGGATGCACGCGGGAGGTTGCTAAGCACAAAAGAAGCGTAAGAGTCGCTCGAGGCGATAGCCGAGCGACTCTAGCTTCTTGTTTACCATTTGTTTTATAACATAACATTGATACATTGTAGATAAAGAGTTCCCTTTTATTTAATAAATCTTATGTGACCAGAAAATACAAGCGCGCGCGCGGAAAAATAGTCTTTGCATTTGCTCGCGTCAGCAGCATACACCCATGGGCAAATAGGGGACGCTAAATTGACCAATCAGAGTGTGCGCTTTACCTTGGTAATGTTATAATTTTCCTTACTGTCTACCATACAATTCTTCTGATGTTAGTTGGGATAATTTGGTACACTATTTTCCTTTATTTCTCATCACTTGTCTGCTTGATATTGTATTAATATGAGGACGAAAAATTATCTCTTTATCACTCATATGGGAGTTAAAGGGTTAAAAATTATTTCAACCAACCTTAAAAGCTATCCCAGCATTATTAACAAGAAGATCCAATCCACCATATTGCTCCATAAGATATTTTTTTATCTTTTCAATGCTTTCTGGTGAAACAATGTCCAATTGATGAAATGTGGGCGATAGACCTTCACTGCTCAGTTGTCTAACAGCTTCCTGTCCTTTTTGTTCATCTCTCGCTAAAAAGCAAAGTTTGTAAACAATCAAAATGATACAAAACCTTCAGAAAAAACAAAAACAGGTAACAATAAGAGATTGAGCAAAAATTGAGGTACCCGATTTTTGTCTGTCAATCTTACTGTAGTGAAGTACTGTATGCAGCAGAATGGACTCATACTCTGATCCACAACAGGTGTTACCGCACCCAATTAGTTGAAAAGAGACACCAGACAGCAAACTGCCTGTTCCTCTAATCTCCTTTCCAACAGCCTCAGCATGTCACACAATGCCATTACCCCACCAGCAATTGCCCAACATCTGGAGCATTGCATGTCATCTGCAAAAATGACTGTATGGGAGAATAATAAGCCCTTAGGATGTGAACTGGATGTCCTGTGGGCTGATCACTCCTTATAAGCATCAAATCACAAAAAATCTATGCACATGCAATTTTCACTCTCTATAGACAATGTTTCTCTATATCTGGATTTCCAGAGCATGATGCAGTTGTGTCAAAGGCAAGAGGATGCTTAGGAACCAATCAATTTAAAGTGCCCATTATTTACTTTCCATTCCTCAATTAATCTTTCACTCTTGTGAGTAACCAAGACAGAATCTCTCTTTACAGTATCAATTAGGGATTATTAGTTGATCTGATATCAAATTCTTCAAACCAACATCACTGTAAATGATCGAGATCTTGGGAGTGAAAAGTACAATAAATTCATTTTTTGTTTTGTTAATGGATTATAACGAGAAGAACTGATTACCTATTAAAATTACAGTCCCAGAAAATTCTTTACATAATTGTTTGACAATAGCGAATCCTATTCCTTTGTTGGCACCTGTAACCTACAAAATTATAGAAGGAAACACTACCACAATAGTAATAAGTTTAATATTTTGACCGCTAATAGTGACTGGCATCTAATTTCTCTTTACAATATCACCCCTGAATCAAACATTAAGGTCAACTAAAGAAGCCTTTGATCGTCAAACAAATGTCAGCACCTCAAGAAATGTATGTAGAACTGAAATATATAGAGAAGTTGTACACTGATATTAGGGTGCAAATTGTTTAAAAGACTTCTCGACAAAAAATGAGATCGGAGTGAACCATTTGTTATTCCACCTTATCATTCGCTAGAAAGTTTTTAACTTGACGATTTTAACTGAATTTCGGCAAAGATGTCCTGAGGTAAAGGGTTGAATAGAATGACTACTTACGACTGCGACTCGCATGCTTGAAGACGTTTTTCAGAGGTTGGCACAAATAGAATAGCACACTACCCGGGGGATAGAAAAACTTAGAGCACAGTTAACAGAGGGTATGATTAAAACGAAGGAAAGTTTCCTATCGCGTCTTTAACTCTTCTAATGACAAAGTTTCCAAATAATTTTCAGAAATCTCAAGCAGAATGAGGCATTTTTGTCTCACTGAGAAGAGTGGCAAACCGAACTATTTACCCTCTCACCCCTCCCTCTTTTGCATTTCCACGAGCCGATGACGCCCAATAGTATCCAGTCTTCAGACAGTTTGGCACATAACCTTGGTGAAAGAAAGCGGTCGACATGTCTTCCTCAAAAGTTGCAGTGGTAAGCCCATTTAACTTTAGAATTTTGGTATTTCTCCTAAAACAAGGGCCATTTATGCAGCAAAGTGCGAAACTTTGGGAGTTATGCGCCCGTTGAGGACAGATCAGGAAACTGTTTGAGGTTATGTCAATCGTGCTAAGATCCAGCCGATACGAAATGTTTATTTATCTTCCATTTTTTCTCCAAAGAAAAATTTAACATTTAATCATAGCTTTGAGTGATAACAGCTACAGCTTGTTTCAAGTTACTCTTTGGTGGGTGGGGCAAGGTTGGTTTCTCTGAGCTGAGGTGTTTGAAACGAACCCATATGTTTGAAAAGGTAGGGGTTGGAATTACCCAAGAGAAATCAGATTTCTACTTTTCTCACATTTTCGATCTACATTCACCAACTTTCTACAGTAATAATTATTTATGAGAACAGATCAAAGGGTTACTGACCGGAAATTAAGGCACAATTTAATTATTTCATATGTTGTAGGTTACTGGTGCCAATAAAGGGATTGGTTATGCAATTGTTCAAAGACTCTGCAAAGAATTTCCTGGAACAGTAATTTTGACAGGTACACTTTTGGGGCATGATGCTTTGGTGATTCTTTTTGTGTGGATGATGTCTAGTTGGCAATCAAGACTTCTGGTTTGCATGTTTTTCTTGAGCCTGCAGTTCCTCTTTCCTCCCCTTCCTATTGACCGTCACCCACCCACTTGGTACAAATTTCTTCCTCTCCCCAACCATCAACTAGTTTTAAAAATCAAAGATGGCAGCTATAATTCTCAGCAAGAAAATACTGAATACTTTCCCAAAAATTGCATCAAATTTGCTCTGCAGCCTACTGTAAAAACCCGCAGATAAGCTACACCTTTTTTTCAAACATCGTTGCTAGAAATTGACGGTGTGGCTTATCTACGGGAACATTTGAAAAGGGTGTCCTGAATGTAGACATTTTCGTGTCCAATCTAATGCCTGGTTAGTAAGCTTTGAATGTTCTGATCATGTTCTTGTTGTAATGCAAAAATCTATGGAAAAACTGTGTTGAATGAAGAAATTCCTGTCAATAAATACCAGAGAAAGATCGATCATGTCAAAGGTGGTAGAAATGATGTTCATCATATTAAAGTGCCAAAATTGTGGGTAAGACTTTGAAGTATTTTCTGTTGCAATGTTAATAGTGAGTTTACATTCAATGAACAGTGGATGAAAAAGACTTCTCAAGACTCAACTTTGGATTTTCTTTTGATTTCTTTCAAAAAAAACTTTTTTTTCCCAAAATTTGAGCTGCTAAATTGAGGGTGCGGCTTATCTACGGGTGCTGCTTATCTGTGAGTTTTTACAGTACCTTTTCTTTTTTTTCCTAACCCTTTATATAATACTCAAGTGTTATTTCTACACCTATTTAAGAGAAAAATACAATTAAGAAACTAAGTTTTGATAAATGAAATGGCTGTAGCTCTGCTACTGTGATGTTTGAAAGAAAAAATGGTTTATTGTTTTTTCTACTACAGCAAGAGATGAGCAAAGAGGCAAGGAAGCTGTCCAGAAATTAAGCAGTGAAGGACTCACAGTATCATTTCACCAGTTAGACATCATATCATTAGAAAGCATTGAGAAGTTTAGAAAGTTTGTCCAAGACCAGTATGGTGGTATTGATGTTCTTGTGAATAACGCAGCAATAGCTTACAAGGTCTGTTTATGCTTTTTTTCTCCTTATAGTTCTCAATTCAAAGGATGATCAAGGAGCCATTAGTTAGTGTTCTAAGTTAATCATTTTAATTTTGCATATGATGATAATGTTATTTTCTACATATCACCTGGGCCAGACAGGAAAAGTTTTGACCATGTCATCCCACCTAACCTTTCCCAGTCAATAAATATTTTACTTTATGACTGCCACTTTCCCTCTTTCTTCCTTTTTACTTTTCTCTGTCTTCTTGCAGAGCCATATATTGAGCTATATGACTTTTTCCAGCTCTGCTGGTTTGATCCTTGACAGCTGTGAAATAGGTGGTTTGTAACTACCCTGTGGAGACACAGCTAACAATAGTGAAAGGAACAAATGCTGGTGGACGAACAAAAGGAGCCAATGAGATATGTATTGTTTACGTCCACCAACAAGGCGGCAATGACGTAACATGCAAACCACCTATAGGGAATTTTAATGTTTTTCATAAAAGAAGGTCATGGGCCATATAGCCTATGTGTTAATAATGATAATTGCTACTTTCATTTTCCCCAGATGGCATCAACTGCTCCATTTACTGAACAGGTTGAGGTGACTTTGCGCACAAACTTTCGCGGCACTCTTGATGTCTGTCGGGCTCTTTTCCCTCTTTTGAGACCACATGCAAGGTAACATCTCTTTCAGCATACGTTAACTTTTTCACTCTCAGGAATGAACAAAAAGTAAGTTCTCCTTACATTTTTATTTGAATTTTTTTTTACAAAAATTTATACAGGGTAACCCAGTTCAGCTAATAGCTGGTTTAAATGGGGCCCTGTTACACCTATCCATCCCACCCCAGGGGAGGAAATCCACCACACAGTAATCTTGTGTGTGGGAAATTAACATCTCCTACCCCAACCCTGCAGGAGACAGGACCTACGGTTTTATTCATCCTTATCTGAGAAGACTAGAATATCTATCCATTTCTTGATATTATAGAAAGGTAGCAAATTCTCCTCAGTTATTTTAAGACCATGAGTATTGGTCCGGCTGGGGCTTGAACCCTCGACCTCCTGCACAACACAATCCAGCGCTCTAACCAATTGAGCTATCATTTAGACAGGAGGTGAAAACAAAGGGAAATAATTATTAACTGGGAGAAATGTCTTGAATTATAAAATGAGGAGAATGGATGTTAAGAGCTNTTTTAAATTGGAATATATCAAGAAAGTTGAAATGGTAAATTGGCCATGGTTACGATTATAAAAGCTGGCGTTTTGAGCGTTAGCCCTTTGTCAAAGCAAATAGAGGAATTGTGGGTTGTGTGTGCATTTAAAGGCAGAAAAAGGAGATACGTGATTGGTGGGAACATGGCAACAAGAAAAACACGAATAAATTAGTGGAATGAAAAGCGTTTGTTGATACCTGTGGGATTTAGACTGCCGGTTTGAAAGATGAGCCTTTTTTCTGCCTTTAAAAGCACACACACCCCGCAATTCCTATAGTCGCTCCAACGAAGGGCTAATGCTCGAAACGTCAGCTTTTATAATCGTAACAGTGGCCAATTTACCATTTCAACTTTGTTGATATATTCAAATTATTTCGTTACCCCCACCAACGCAGCCCCAAACAGTTTCTTTAGAAACTATCAGCCTTTATTTAAATTGGAGTTTGCCAAGTTTTTAGTGTTTGTCTCAATGAAAATGTTTTTGTTTGGACAATTAGAGTTTAGTCTGATATCCCAAATCAATTCTGTGATAGATAACTTTACATTTTTGATAAAAAATGAGTTATTATTTTCTAGGGTGGTGAATGTGTCCTCCAGGGCTGGACGTTTGGCACAGGTTTCAAAAGAAATTCAAGAGAAGTTTACCTCTCCAACTTTGACTGAAGAAGGCCTTATTTCCTTGTTGGATCAGTTTGCGCAGTAAGTTTGTTTGATATGTAATTTTCCTACCAAATCTACTTTAGAAGCTCAGTATTTTAATTTGAGGATTATTTTTAATCATATGATCTTGCATTTGCCTTTATGCACTGTATTTCCTTGAATAAGCACCTGGGCACTTATTTAAAATTTTGGCAGAAAGGATGGGAGCTTGTTGGAAGGGGGTTGCAAATTAAGAAACTATCAACCTGTTCTGATTCTGTTGAAGATTCTTAGGATAGATATACAGTTATAATAGAAAAAGGTTTTCCTGGTATCCCTACTTTGGATAAAGTGAGGGAGGAGGAGGACATTTGTGTGATATAATAACACAGCAGGTAGGCAATTATTCTGGGTTAGGGTGCTTGTTAGAGTGTGGGCACTTATTCAAGGAAATACGGTTTATGGAAAATTGTTACATTTGTCAACTTTGAATTGTGAGATTAAAATACATTTAACTCTGTCACTGCTCTCTAGAGATGTAAAGGATGGTGTCCATAAGAAGAAAGGATGGTCGAACTCTGGTGAGATATGTACTCTCTGATTGGTCTTGATTTATTAAATCTATTTTGAAATCACAATAATTTTTGCAGTCTTATTGGCTTATGGCGGTGCAATTTTTTCATAATTACAAAACTGCAGATGAGGGCAAGATTTTAGAAAGCTACCCTCCTTATGTACTCCACCTACTTCACTTATCATTATGTAACTATTGGTATGCTTGAGAATCTTCTATATGATGAGAAAAGTGCTTTTTATCCACAGCTTATGGTACATCAAAGATAGGTTTGACAGCTCTTAGCAAGATACAGGCAAGGGCATTGACAGAAGATCCAAGGGAGGACATTTTGTTAAATGCTGTGAGCAGATTCCTCTGATTATTTTCTCTGCTTTTGATTCAATATGACCTTTGATTAAGATTGATTACTCTACTTATTAATTTATTTTTGGGTTGGAGTAGTGTTGTCCTGGATGGGTGCGCACTGATATGGCTGGACCAAAGGCACCAAAATCTCCAGATGAGGGTAAGCCTTTAGCAAAGTTGTCCAGTTTATTTCCATGCTTTTGGCTATTTTGAATTTCAGTAACTACATCTTCTTCTCAAAGTTAACAATTTGCGGTAATTGTTTAGTCTTGTTGGATATTTTGTTCCAAGTGAGCCTCTTCTTTACAATAGATGAAGTAGCTTTGGTGTGTAGTGGATAAAGAAGCAGCTAAACTGTTTGTTAACTCATGAGATTCCCTCGTACTCCGCAGTTTCTTGACCAAAGCTTGCATTTTTTTCTGTGTGAAAATTCTCAAAGAAAGTAATCAGCCCAAGTCTTTTTAGCTGCAAACTGGGCAACATACTGTTAATGTTTCTCAGATTGTTCAATGTACAATAAGCAATTCATTTTGTTTTTGATAAGTAAATTGGACTTCTCGACTTTTTCAGGAGCAGAAACACCTGTCTACCTGGCCCTTCTGCCACAAAATGCTGGCAAACCACATGGAGAGTTTTTTGCTGAAAAGGCTGTGCATGAGTGGTGACCCTGTGCACAGTAATGGTAACCAGCCTGTGCACATGCCTAAAAGAGAAGTATCAACCTGTCATCCTGTGGATAAATAAACAAAAGCCACCATTTAGTGCAAAAGTATGCTGCAATGTTTGTCCACAGACAGTATCTCATTGCACCTATTGTTTATAAAGCACTCTCTTTCATGTCTTTATCTGGAGCAGAGAGTAAATGTGCAACAGACAATGATTGCATGGAAACTTTGTAATTTTTTAAAGTAGTGGATAATAATCTTTTTGTAGTTCCAAATGGTTTCAGTGTCAAAGAAAAGACAGATAGTCCATTATAGTGCAGGGCCTCTGGCCTTTATCAATCAAACAGATGTAGTTGTAACATTAACAGGCTGTTGTGATTTGTGTAGAGAATGTTATTGTTAAAGAGAACGAAACTAGCAATAAGTAGTAGACAATGTTTTGAGATAATAAATGGTTTGATTGCATATTAAGTCTTGTTAATAGATTTACTGCATCTTCTCTTTGTTAGCCAATACATGTATCACATTCCAGTGCCAGTAGTTTGAGTCAAGAAAAGACAGTAGTACTGTCTGATTTCAGATGCTATTGCCCTATTTTGAACACTTCCACCCAATATCGCACAAGCTGTGGAAAGCGTTGAAGATGTGCTCTGATTGGCAAATCAAACTCCAAATATTTTTTGCTATTCGCCTTTGAGTAAGGCTTGTGCATGCAGGATTTGTGCCCGAAAATATTGTAATCATTGCAAGAATAAATAAACATCTATGTTAAATCATCTCCATGATATAGTCTATACTAAACAAAACATGTCAACATGTGGTGGATTTTTACCTCGCCACTTCTCAGTTCCGTGAATATCCACCATTAGTATATACTAAAACGGTGGATAGCATTGAAGGCGTGCTCTGATTGGCTTGTCAAACTCCGAATATCCTTTGCTTTTTACCTCCTAGCAACTCGGGAAAAAATGGTGTCCTGGTTTGCATCCTAGCCTTCTTTGCAGATGATCTTTGTGTGTCGAATTAAAAATATTTCCCCCAACGAATTTCCCTCAGGGGAGATATTTTTAATTTGACACACAAAGAACGTGTGTAAAGGAGGCTATTTGAATCCATGACAACAACAACAACAACAACAACAACACAACTTTATTTAAGTGTTTAAGTGAAGAAATCACTCAAATTAATTATATTATCTCATTGTTTTAGTATATGCTAAAACAACTATTCGCCTCAGTGTCGGTTGTTAGCGGTGGGTATTGACCTCGTCGCTTCGGGGCTCAGCAAATATCCACCACTAACCACCTCCCCTTCGGTGAATAATTGTTTCATCCACAGCTTGGTAACCAGGTATTTTTGTTAGTAGCCTGGTTACTTGGTAATTAGTTTGCCATGGCTGCCGGACATTCGCGTCCTTGTTGTCAGAGAAATTAATCTTCGTCTCGTTTTGTTTCTTCTAATCAAAATATCCTCACATTGGATTTAAAATAAGACGAAGAAGGAAACAATTTCTTTAAAATCTTAAGTTGATCATGGTAAGTTTGTCTTCAGATTTTTGTTGTCCGCACGCTTAAGGCCGCTAAACTTGTTATCAGTTTCCTCAAATTGATCTTCCCATGTTCAAATCACAAATACTTATATTTATCCTGCAGCTCTGTCATGGTAGCTTTGCTTACTGCGTTTAAACCGAATTTACCTCCTCCTAGCTTTTCCGATAGCTGTTATTATTATTACTATTCATGTTTGTGATTACTTCCAGTTACATGTCTGTCTCTTCAAGGCTTCGTGAAATATTTCGCACATGAGCTTAAGCATACTGAGCCTACTAATCTTATTTGATGTCATTTAAATTATTTGAATAATGACACAAAAATGACATGTGAAATTATTAACTTGAGACTAATTTTTTTGGTATCTAAATACTTCAAAGATAACGAAGTCGTCAACATTTTGATGACTTACGAATATTAATAAGGCAACTTTTTTACTTCAATTTTATTGATCACTGTTCACAGGACATTGGATTAAATGAGCATCATCAACAAATTGTCGTAAACTACCTCAGGTTTGCACGTTATGGGCGAGGACAGAGACTCAGGGGAATAGATGCATCTTTTGAGGAACTAAAAGACAGCAGGTGTGATTTAAACAGTACTGTGTCATTTGATTACATGTTACGGCACCCACAAGCTGTCATTCTATCAGTGAAGTGGTCTGGGTTTGAGGAAGTAGCAAAGTGGAGAGGTTCATTCACAGATCTCATGATATGGAGTTCTGGGATGGAGTCCAAGACCACACCTGAAAATAGCTTATTAGCTTATCTCCTGCCATTTTGAATTTGGATTATTTTTTGGTTTCATTTGAATGATTTGTTTCTTTGATTAGCTGGTTTTCTCTTACCTTTAAAGCTATAATCATAGCCATGAATATAATTTTTATGATATATATTTGTATTATTTAGAACCCCATTTCCTTCAAATCCAAATTATGGCTGTCTTTTGTCACCAGTATGGGATTTCAGAAAGTGGGGGAGGGATGGGTGGGTAGAAGGAAGAATTATTGCTACAGTGAACACTAGTAACTTGATACATTGATATTGTTTATCTGTTCAGCTTTTTTTTTTTTCTAGTTAACTTCTACCTTGAAATTTATCCTTTGGCCAGTGATTAACCTGGACCAAAAAAGGGATTGATACCATAGAGTTATTGTTTACACAGACTTGTAGAAGACACGTACACCCTTGATGAAGTGACAGACATGTTAGATGGCCTTTGTGCAGTGGTGAGAGGAGAGGTTGAATCTGAACTGATTAATGCTGCACACACTAATGTTCTTCTTCTGAGGCAAGTGTTTAGTCAAGCTGAGAAATGGCATTTGAAGCTGCAGGCTGACATATCAGAACTGGAAAATAGGTGAGTTTTTCATTTAGTGGCTCTTTTGCTCACAAATTTTATACTGTACCTTCAGATTTAGTCTGCTATTTGCTTTTCACATGATTGCATTTTGTTGCAGAGAGCTAATAAATGAAATTGCAAAGTTTGAAGAAAGGGAATTCTCTCCTGGTGCACCAAGCTCACAGGTATAGTATTGTGGAATGTTCATGTACAAGTTTAGATAGATAGATAGATACTTAGATAGATACTTTATTATAAACACCTTGCAGCCATAGGCTGAATTACGGAATATTTACAAATACAGATGATAAAAAAAGGAGGTATAAAATAGCTTAACAGCTTCAAATGTCTGTTGAACAAAAATATGACTACTTATCCTCTGGAAATGAATTTTATTTCCTAGACAATTGTAGTTTAGTCATGTTTATAACAGCAATGACCTTGCTCTTTAAACAAATCCCATTATTATAACTTGAACCCAAGACAGTCAATCCTTGCACTCATAGCAAGTATTTGTTGCTCTACCGTATGAAATGTATATACTTGTCTCAGTTGCACTATAATCCATAATTTCCTTATAACATCAGAAATACTTTTGTTGTCAGATGATAGTCTGAGAAACTAGTACATTTAAATTCCTTTCAAGTATTTGCATTTTTTGTGTTTTTTTTCTTCCCTTCAGACTAAGTTGTCTAAACTGTCCCAAGCCTCAAAGCTAGAACCTTTAAATGAAGGAGGAGGGGCAGCATTACTTCAGATTGTAAGTTGATTAATTTATTGAACAGTCGCCTTTAAGGATAAATCTTAGAAAGACTTTGTCATTGATTAGCTGATACTCTGAGGGGAACGTAGGATGGAGGACTTCCTTGCTACTTTCTGAAACCCTCCTCTAGACCTTACCCACCCCTCCCCCCTCTTTGTCTCAGCATTGTTTTCAGTATCTTTCTCTCTTGGGATTCAAAGATGTCCCAGAAGAGAAATTAAGGAGGAATGGAGGAGGAAGAGGGGTAACATCGTAAATAATTGCGAATGTGAATGTGATCAAAATTACACCACTAAGAAATATTTAGTGCTTACTTTTATTATCTGTTTTGATTATTTTGTTTGCATTTTTTTACAATTAATTATAGCCAATATTCAACAACTGTTCTCCATTAGTAGCAGCTTTACAAAATTTAACCAATTTCTGACATCTCCAACATACTCATATTTGTGAAGATTCATTTAACTAAGTGTCTAGATTTTCACTTCAGTTTTGGTATGGAGTCATGAATATTATAACTCCATAGAATGTCCCCACATCAATTTTTGAGAAGTTATTACACAATGTTCTATCATGGGTTAATTTCTACTAGTGAGATCAGGCTTTGTCTAATTTGAAACTGATTATAAATAATTAATTAAACAAGCTTTTTATTGTCAATCATTCATCATTTATTTATTGTGTTGTCTTTGAAATACTTATAAACTGCATCATTATTGGTGATTTCACTGTGCTCTTTGACTATTGAATAATGCCCTTTACCTAAATTAACCATTTGATGTAGAGTTTCCTGTTCATGGCTCATTTTGTGGAGTACAGATTTATATGGTTTAATCCTTCCTAAATAAGCACAACCAATACTTCCATTTTTCTTTAATAAAAGGAAATTAGTTAGGACTTTTATTCTCAAACATAAACCACAATACACTTGAACCTCTTAATTATTGATTACAAATGGCTGTTGTGTATCAGATATTCTTAATGTTCCAAGCATCACACAACTCCATGGAAACAGTTTGTGTATTTGTAGCATATATATGCATGGAGGATAATTTGCCAAAGGAGTTTATACAGTGATCCACAGTGGATAATTGCTAAGATTGATTATAAAAGTCTGTGCTGTAGAGATGATTCTTTTACAACTGTCAGAAAAAGAACTCTTAACAGAACTGATTAGGGATCAGCAAAAGGTGACTACAACATGGAGTGTTTCACTTCAGATTGTTAGTTCTAAACACATCACTTTAACATTTGTGAATATATGAAAGCGAAGATCGCGTCTCATACACATCACTTTTAAATGGATAGACTTTTAGTTTTAATATAGCATGATTTTATTTTGTAGCTCTTAATCAGGTGGTTGCATTTAAGAAAGCTTTTTGCAGCAGAGGACTTGAAGCACATTTGCCATTGCTTTGATTCACTACTTACCATCTTATAAGTTGTGCCTCCAAGGGAATATGATTTTTTTTTTAACTTCATCACAATTCAATATGTTTTTATTGAATGTCTAGGGTTGATTACAATTGTTATCTGATGTTAATATTGCTGCCCCTTTTTACTTGAGCCTTGTTGCCTGTCTGTGCTGATCACTCATAAAATATTATCTTTTGTACAATTCATGTATAATTTGTTTCTGAGACTCTTTCATAATATAGGTTTATCTCATGGGCAATAGTAACTATGATGGACATTTCACTCCACTGACAATATGTTTTGTTTCCTAGGAAATTAACCGGTTGAATGAAGAAAATTCAAAGCTCAGAGATCGCATCAAAATTTTGGAGGGAAAGGTTTGACTAAATTAATCTGAAACAATCTTAATCTTTACAATTGTATTTAATTTGTTATTGCTTTGAAGACATTTAAACAAGACTGATGTAGTTATTGTCTTGTTTTTCCCAATCATAATTTGACAAATTGTAATCAAAAGCAAAGCAGAACCTGATAAAAAAACTGATACAGGTTTTTTTGGTCTCAATTTTTTTTAACAGGCAACAAGTGCCATTGGAGAAAAAAGTAAACTTCAAGCTGATCTAGAAAGCACCCAGGCAGCTTTGAAAGCAAAAGGCAATGTTAAGGTTTGTCCAGTATCACTTCTCATTAATATTTTATCAAGTCAATGAACCATACCCATTTGATCCATAACCCTTTAACTCTCAAGATTTGATGATTTCTCCCTTCTAGCTGGTAGATGTTTCCTTGTTAATTAGTTACGAGAATTTGGTGCTAGATCAAGATAAAAATTCTACCAGATAAGTTTTGAGTATTCTCATAACCTTGCTTGATAATTAATACATGAATATTATGGTGAGAAGTTACATGTTAATCACTTCTGGGCATTGAAGGGTTAACCTTTACTTTTCATTAGCAACTTAAGGCTTCTCTACTTTTCAGTATTACAATGTTCCTGATTCTTCTTCCACAGGGTTATGGCAAAGAACTTGCTGACCTAGAGGAACAGATGGCTGCAACTAAATTAGATCTGAAAATGGTAATGATGAAAATGATGATACATTTTGAAAAAGTTCAGATTATTGTTTATAGAAGTTCCTAAACAATTTTGTTCTACTTAATACTAGTTTTTTTATTAATTTTTCCTTTCTTACAGACAAAAGAAAAGGGCTCTACTCATTCTGCATCATTGCATGATGAATTAACAAACTGTAAGGTAAGATATTCAAATGTGTACCTTATCTATACGTAATGATTAAGAAATGTTACTGAAGAGTCAATCTTTGTAATCCTTGTAATCCACTGATTATCTTCTGGGTAGAAGCATTAAATATACCCTGTCTTACCATTACTCCTTACCAATTTTCATGTCTTGGTATTTATTGAATTTTAGCTGTTAGAATTTGACTGAAGCTAATAAAAAAAAATGATTGCTTGTGTTTCAAGGGTTAACAAATTTGTATGTTTATTAGATTTAAAAAAAAACTGTGGCTTAATGTTTCTGTATTAATTTCTTATTTCTTCTCTTATATAGCATGAGATGCTAAAGCTTCAACATGAATTAGAAGAAGCACAAAAGGTAATTAACCTTGTGTACACCAAACAGAGAATCTGGTTTATGTCACAGCTAGAAGCATGTCACTCAAAAAGCTTTTCTTGTTTTCAGGATCTTACCAAGAAATTTAATGAAACAACTCAATACAAGAACATGAAGCAGATGTTGACTTCAAAGAACGACCAGATTAAAGATTTACGGAGTCGTTTACGCAAGTGAGTTTATGTGACTCTTCTTTCTATAACATGTTGTTACAAGTAATTACTATAAGCTTGGCCAGTGGCTGCTTTCTCGATACTAGTCCCACTAACTTTGCGCTCCCATAGTAAATTTTTTCGGAGATGATAAGCAAGAACCAAGACAGTCACATTCAAGCTGCTGTTGACACCCTAGCAAGCCGTGCGACCGAGGATAAGTTTCAACTAAACGAGACCAAATGCAAAGAACTGCTCGTGAACTTTAACACTAACAAACCTACTTCTTTCGATCCAGTTGTTGTTAATGGCAAGCCCATTGACCTAACTACTAGTGCCAAAATACTAGGCCTTAACATCTCTAATGATTTGAAATGGAATTGTCACATAACTCCATTTTTAAAAAAGCTAAAAAGCGCTTGTATTGCTTATCTCAGCTTAAATGCTCTGGTCTTGGTACCCGTGAGTTAGTCCAGTTTTTCTGCACTTGTGTTCGTCCGATTATAGACTATGCATGTCCTGTCTTCCATGACGGCCTTCCTGTGTACCCCTCCAACGAACTTGAAGAAATACAAAAGCAGGCTACGCGCATTATTTTTCCTCTTTACTCATATAATGAGGCCTTGGCTGAATCAGGCCTGACTAAACTTTCAGATAGCAGCCAGAAACTAGTTGATAAACTATTTAAGAATGTTTTACAGAATGAACAGAACAAGCTCCATGAACTTCTTCCTACTCGTAACACATGTACCTTTAACCTAAGAAATATGCGGAAGTTTTATTACCTTTAATGCCCTTAAGGCTTGAACGGTTTTATACAACGGTTTTTTTTTTTAGAACATATATTTAGTGTTCTTATTGCTGTTTTAATACATTTAGTCTATTTAATGTAATTATCAATGTTTGAAACTTGTAAATAATCGTATAATTCAACTTTTGGTAGCAAATCGGTTATTAATAAACTATCTATCGATTGTTAATGAAACAGGACAAAACAAGAATCCTTACAACATCACCCTTGAATAACAGATTGAGGTCAAAAGAATAATGGAAATGATCACCAACTAAAGAAGTTTCTAATTATTGAATCCGATTGCATTTGAGTCCTGATCATCACCTTAGAAAATTGATAGAGAACAGTATGGAGAATATGTATACTGATGTTACTGTGTAGAGGGTTAAATTACTCTTTTAGGTTATCTCAATACTTATGTTTTGCTTGGTCTTTTTCCAGATATGAACCTGACACCTGAAAAAATGGTGTGTGATTTGTGGCATCCAAAGGGAATTCAGTGAACATATTCTACATAACATCCAGCTGTACTAAAAAGACCTACTAGTGACTTAAGTTCTGACTATTTTGTGGTGTTCTGACTGAGAAAAAGTTCACTGAGTAATTTCTGAAGTTTTTTAACTCTGTAGAAGTATTACAAGTGATCTTGTAATTGTTTTTTTTTTATTGAACATTTATTTAGTAATATTACTGATAAAAATTATGTACATGAGGTGATATTAAAAGTGAAAACACAAAATGAAAATGGTAATTGAATGAAAGCAAGTCAAAGAAGTGCAAAGGAATTAACATTTTAATGTTTGTCTTTCTGATATTAATGAAGATATTATTTATTACATGTATGTGTTTTCGTCTTTTTATGTCTTGAATAATAAACCAGGCATAGTATTGTGTGCATAGATTTTATTGTTAAGAGGTTGTATTTTAAAATATAAACAGCAACTCTGTATCCTTGAATGACACTGCATAAAAAAGTGTGGCACAGGTTCAACTTTTAACTTGCATACTGCTGGGTAAATTCTACAGGTCTTGCAATTTATATTGGTTACAAAAAGTAGTAGACAAGTATCTCCCCTCTAATTTCCCATTTATTCACAATTTCAATTATCAATCCTATTCTAAATGTCCCTTTCATGGTTTTGGTCTTTGATACAACCATACACTGTCAATTCCTTCCTCAATCTTATCTGTTGGTTTCCAGTTGGGTAATGGAAAACGACATGCTAGTATTTGAGCATCATCCTTCATTTCTTCTTGGAACTTATCTTGGAGCTTTGGCATCTACATATTTCCAAGTAGAAAGAAAGCATAATTACACAAGTACAAATGATAAATATTAATACATGACTTAATAAAGAGCCATCGTGAGCCCTCATAAGTAATTAAGGATGTTTTAATATATTACTATTGTGGTTCAAATTTCCCTTTCAATCAAAAGATTTTTAAACACCGTTTAGTTTTCCCTCTGACTCAGGTTATGGCCCTCATATAAATCCGAGACAAACCTTTTAAGGCTATTATAATATAAAATTAAAATAAACTGTTTTCAAAATTGTTAAACCAGGGAAAATTTGAAGTGTAACATTACCATCTCTGAGACTCCAAATATTACAATGGTGTCAGGGGTTGACAGATTAACCTGTAAATAAATGGAACACAACAAAACACATTCAGGGTCCAGATGATCAAGAGAAATGCTGTATCCAGTGCTGCAAGCTGTGAACTTTGTTTGCCATGGTGAGTAGAAAACATTGTTGGCATGTAAACTTCCAACCAGACTTATAAACATCAATGATAATATGTGATTGCACTTGGATCTATCCATTGAGCTAACCGCCTCCCGGTTAGCTCAATGGATAGAGCGCTGGACTGTTGCGCGGGAGGTCGAGGGTTCAAGCCCTGGCCGGACCAACACTCCGGGTCTTAACCAAGGGTGCCACATGCTGGGAAACCCCCTCCTGTCCGAGGGAAATTGACTTCACTAAGCCAAAATAACATCATTCCACATTTTATTTCATATCTTGTAAACTAAGAATTTAGAGCAAAAACATTACAGAAAAACATTACTCTGAAAATGATAGGCTTTCTAATGGTATAAAAATCTCAACCTTTCAGGAAAATGCTGTTGAACTACACAGCTGCAAATTGGAGCAAAACAAAAACTTGCATATTGACTCCATGTTGTCTTATGATAAGCAACTACATAAGCAAGAAACTACTTAATTCCACTTATCATGCTCATTCTACTATACAAGCGAGTAAAACTAAGGACTAAATGCATGTAGCATGTTATGTTTAAGATTTTCAAAGGCAAAAATTTCTTTAATGACAAAAATTAGCAAAGTGCAATTTCAAATCTCGCGGCACTGTTCAAGCGAGATCCTCTGCGGTATGATTTCGAAAGCAGTCTAAGCAAATGCGTTTGCCGCAAAGTTCGCAAGCCATTCGACACCAAGTAGTTTTCTTCTGCTTTAGGCAACGCTTGCAGCGGCCTTTGGTGTAGGAAATCGGCCAGTGCCCTCCTTCAATTCGCCCAGAACTCACTGACAATCTTCGTGACGAAAAGTCACCGATCAAATCTGGGACCAATTCCAGCCGAAAAGCGAGCTGAGTTCTGTTTCTGTGATTCAGAGATAATCTCTCCAGAATGTGTGCATTGACGATAGAAACATCAACGAGAAACCAAACAAGGCAGCGCCACCATTTCTTTGATTTTCTTCCCGTCATATAGTATCCGCGAAGTTGATCACTAAGATCAACACCGCCCATGTTGTTGTTGTAAGACTTAACAACGGGAACGCTCGGCACTTCAACAATACTTCCATCTTTCTGCGTCCGGTTTACTCGCTCATCGCCGACAGGATTAGATTGTGTGCTGAGGAAATACACGGGTTTCTTGTCTTACCACACAGTTACGACCAAATTCTCTCTTCGCAGGAATAGCGACTCTCCTTGTCGAAGACGTTTCACTCGTTGCGTGGTTGGAGCGATCTCCCGTGGAATGCCATGACGATTTGAACGGACAGTTCCACAAACATAAATTTCGTCGCGAAGCAAATTTTCCGCTAAGGCAATCGAAGAAAAGAAGTTGTCAATAAAAACATGCTGGTTTTTGCCAACCAAGGGCCGTGTTTAATTGTAGACAACACGGTATCCAAGTCCTTGTTCGGGTTAGCATCTCGCTCCTTCCCCGTGTAAACACTCAGGTTCCAAACATAGCCATTCGAAGCGTCGGCACATTCCCAAACTTTAATGCCTCTCTTTACTGGCTTTAGCGGCATGTACTGTTTCATTCCGAGCCTTCCTTTAAAGGGAATTATCGCCTCGTCGATGGAAACTTTTTTTTGGCCTGTATTCGCTTCTTATCGAAGAAACAACAGAATCGAGTAGCGGCCGCACTTTGAAAAGTTTGTCGTGGTTAGCATTACCACGTGGTAAATCTCTGTTCTTGTCGTTCAAATGGAGATATTGAGAAATCTTCTTGAAACGATTTCTTGAAAATACCTTTTGTATCTCCGGAACGCCAAGGAGAGGATTCTTTGACCAGTATGAATGGATTTCTGGTAGCTGTTTGATTCCAAACATTATGTTTACTGCGAAGAA